CAGGAAAAGCTGACTCTGCCAGAAAGAATAAAGATTACTATATAAAAACATAGTTACTAAACATTGAATGGCTATTGCTGAATAAATGACATCTAATAAAATAAATAGAATCAAATATGGGGTTTAATATGATGAAAAAATCTTAAATTACCTTCCCTAAAATTCAGAGGTTCTGAAAGACATACTGTAAATACAGACCAGATGTGAAGGATGACACATCACAGGCATGTTCCAAGACAGTAGACAGACAAAGATGGAAGCCATAGCTATCCAGAAGGTCTGACAAATATATATTCAACAATCTAAAAGTGATTTGTAGTAAATGGGGTAATACATTAAAAAAAATCACTATTATGGTATTTGTAGCAGGTTTTATAAAATGCACTCACTGTGGGGCAATAACCCACTGCCTTAGAGCATCAACATCAGCTCTGCCAATTTGTTGTCGCTGATGTTTGATGTTTACTATTCAGATCGAGTATCTTCTCGTCAAACGTCTGTTGATTTGTCTATGAATATACAGTAAGTAGCATTACGTTCCCAAATTGAAAGCTACAGAGTTAGTGAGTACTCGCTCTGAGGCATTCATTTACTTTTTGCATTTGTTTCAACATGGCAAATTAATTCTTGATATAATTGATCACATTTTTTCTATCAAGTCCATTAACTTCTAGCCCCAGGCCAAACGAAACAGAAGCATCAAACACAAATGTGATTATCAACTACAGCTGCCAATTTAAATGAGAGACAGTGCCGTTAATCAAATTGTGTGTGCAACAATACACCTAAAAGCATAGATCAATAGGGTTGAGCTCCGCCCAATTCAATTTAAGTTGAACCAAAAAATGCCACCCCATTGCATCATGGTGGTTCTTCAAAAACATCAAAACATTTGTTGGGTGGTGTGATAGCTTTGTAAAGCTGTTCAGTTGATGAAGCTAAAGACATCCCTTTCACTGACAGCCCTCATAAATCAAGAGTTGCCATGTCTGTTGTTTTTTTGTCTACCATATGCTTTCACTTTTTCACATTCTAATGCTCAGGGTTTTCGAGTGCAGAAACTTTTTTTTTTCCTTTATCACTTCTGGTAGTGTTGCATATATTCCCACCACTTCTGTCCTCTTCTACCTTTGGCTCCATCTTTTTCATGCCCTTCCCTCCACTCTCATGTTCCACTTTCAAAAGCATCTTCAATAAAAAGTTTTTTGCCACTGTGTGAGACACATCTGCATTGCAGTGCCAAGGGGAAAGCAGTGGCTGGAGGAGAAGAGATTTGTATGAATAGCTTGAGACAGAGATGCAAAAAGAGAGAATGAGAATAAGGAAGTCTGACCTGTCATTTACCAAAATAATGGATGTATGAGTGACAGAAAAACATCACTTCACACATCATTTGGTATATTATACCAGCGTTGTTTTATATTTATTTTTTTCCCTTTGACAGAAAAACATGCCCATTTAAACGTCCAAAAATCTAATACAAACACAACCATTTGCACCTCAAAGTGCTGTCACAGGGAAATCACAGAGAGGGTCATCCACCCCCACCTCCCTCCGAGCCTCTGAGCCTCCCTGTTATTAATGGCGTCATCATTTTTCCTCTGCTCACTCTATTTCCCTTCTGATAGCGGGGCCTGCTTCATCGTGTTCTGCCATGTTTCTGTAATTGCTCCAACAGCCTGCCTTATGCTGAGCATATAGTTTTTTTGTGTATGTGTGTGCCCATCCAGTGGGCGTGTGCGTCTATAAGTGAGTGCATATGCATGTGTGTGTGTGTGTGTGTGTGTGTGTGTGTGTGTGTTGCTCTGTCCCCCCACCGGGGCCGGCTGTGAGTTTGTGGGGCAGAACCAAGCCGCGGGCATGCTCCACACGGAGCGAAATGACAGCCTCCAGGCCACCATTGGTTGATGACCGTGAAAACACTTGCGGTTAACGTAAAGTGAGCGACCGGCTGTCACAGTGAGGCACCGCGCTTATGTGCAGCCCTGACAACAGCACAACAAGCCCCTCTACAACTAGACTGCAGTGCTGCAACAAACAACAAAGGGACAGCCCCACAATTCATAACCACTTCAGACATCTGAAGTACATAGCAAAGAGGGAGAGGAGCAAGACACAAGCACTACTATTTGTCAAAGTGTTTGGGAATAAATGCTTTTTCTTTACTTGAAATGTGGTGGGCAGGAGTGAAAGCTGAGGGTGGTTGTTGAACGAAGACAGGGAAGTGAGCGTGCAGGACAGAATGCCTAGACTGTCACAGATGCCAGCCAAGGTCAGATAAAGTGAGGAGTAAGTGCTTAGAGAGCTACAGGAGCAGAGGCCAGCTCTGTGGAGGAGGTGTGAAGGAGTGAGTGACCAAGCGTGAGCGCCGCCGCCTCTACCCATCATTAAATGAAGCCACTTAAAGGAAAAAACTGCTCGCTCAAAAAGGTCAATACACAGCACTTCTGCAAAACCCTGATGGTATTATTTAGCCATCTGGAGAACAGTTTTGTCTTTGATGGCGACACAAAAAGTTGTGAATATGTGTCTGAAGAAGAAGAAGAATTGCTTAATCTATCCTAATCTATCACATCCCCACCAGCAAACAGGTTTCTAAAGTTAAACTGAGAAGCAATAAATTATGTACCAACACCATGTAGTAAGGAGGGATGATTACGCATGCTTTTATCATCAGTTTTAACCTCTCTGTGGTTAAATCAGACTTCTTTTACCCCCTGCCCTCCTGCATTGCTTTCTTGCCTCCTCTTGCTCTAACTCTGAACACACACATATGCGTGCACACACACAAACACAGTTTATTATGCAGTAACATTACCAGATCCCCTTAGGCAGCTGTGCATCTCTGTATGACTGATGAGGGTAATTTCTCCCAAACAACAGAATGATCACTTTGGTGGTGAGAGCCACAGACTCTCCCTCCTCCCCTGTCTTCTCCCTCTCCCGTTTTCTTTTTAGCTTATAAGAAAGGCAGGAAAAAGAAAGATATTTGTTACTATGTCTCCTGCAGTGACTGGAATGGTTCCAGTGGAGATAAATAGCTCTCCCACCTCATGCATACGAACAAAAAAAAAAAATAAAAGTTAATCACTCCATGGATCCAAATCAATCCATTGATTCTTCAATGCCGATTGCCATTAAAACTCTGCTAATAAAAGACATTCAAATCCAGTTTCTACTCTCCCAGTTGGAGCTGGAAGTGCGGGGGCTTTTCCTTATTTTGTCTTTGATTACCATAGGGATCCAATATAATACACATGCCACTGTGAATTAGCCTCACAGTAAGGACTGGCCTGAGCCACGGTGAGTTTATACTGCCTGTACTATTGTGCACCGTGGGATGTACTGAGAAGAGAGTAGTTAGGACTTATCTGCCTCTCTCTCTTGGCCTCATAGGTTCAGCCTCAGTGGGTTGTCTTTACCTATTCTCCCATCTGTCAGTCACACACAAAAACAAATCCACCTGTCGGCCGGGAGACTGGGCTGAACAGGACGATGCTACAGCTGTCTGGGCCTGACTCGGTGCAGAACAGAGCGAGCCAGCGCCCTCCACTGGTGATGGAAAGCCCATTAAGATGCTCATTACCCCACCTGTCAGCCCCATCTCCTCACCTGCACAGATACGGCCGACTAATGAAGACAGTCACTATTAATACAGCACCTTGAACATAGAAGTCATGCCTCCATGCTTTTTGTGGTCCTTGTGTCCTTGATCACAAGGGCTCTCCAGCCTTGTAACAATATAACAATCCAAGCGTTAAGAGACAGGCATTCTTACCGCGCCACTTGATTGCCTCAACAATGAAGCTATTAATGCTGCATTATGTAAATGGTAATGGTCACAAACATCTAATAGGATAAAGGCTAAGTACAGTGCAATTTAATGCTGCTGACTTTCAGTGGCTCTTTGAAGGATGTTTTCAATTATAACAGAGCTAATTTAATTCATTGTTTCGGAGCTGAAAATGCATTTTTAAAGGTTGACTGAGTCTCCATTTCAGAACTCAGGTTTAATCAGTCATGTACATTGAACACTGGAACGTCCTCTAAAGAGATTGACAAAGTTGCCGGGGATCTGCGTTCTAGGTTTTAAAGGGACACTGTAGCCCTGCCCTTCTCTTTTTCCTCAGATGGCAGGCTTCAGTTGTGGAGGGGAGGGTGTTCATCTAAAAGATGAAAAGACCTGCGCCTTTAAGAGGGCTGTCTCCCCTTTCCCTCATGCTCTCCCTCAACCACACAGACACTCCTCCTGTGAGCATTTGTGAGGCAGCTTCTGTCCCTTATGTCTCTTTGTGGGGAACAGAATAGACTTCCCAGAGCATCACTGGAGACAAGACAGAGCTCTGGGGAGAACACCCCAGGTGCAGACCTCCATGCAACCCTGGCCTCAACTACTGTGGATGCCTAGATGAGCACAAGGAGAGGAGACGCAGACCCACTCAAGCTGGAGTAAAACATCCAGAGTTCCAATACAGAAGGTGGAGCAGCTGGACAACCCAAGAGGTCAATTTTGAGTTGAAGCAGCATGATCAGCAGATCAAAATCAACAACGCTGGACTGGATCGCTGAGAAAAAGGTGGAGTCTTAATATGAGCTTTTAGTTTCCGTTTAGAAAAGTTTGGTTAAAGAAGAATCAACTAAGTCCTCTATATCTTTTGCAGCTATTAAGGATAAAAGCACCATATGAAATACATACAAGTGAAGAAAAGAGGATAATTTAGGTAATTCTTTTTTTCTAATTATTATTATTATTATTATTATCCATCTCCAGAGCACTTTCCAAACAGTCATTTGTGGTATGAAATTGAGATGCTCTTTAAAGAACATCTTGAATGGTCCCGACAGTGCTCTTAATTCACCAGCCAAGCGTTTATCTTATTTCTCCAGCTCTTTCGGAGAGGGAGCATTAAAGACTTCATTGATATTGCTCTTGGGGAGCGGGTAATATTTCTTATATGGAGTCTTGAAACTTTACAGCTGTTGACTGGAGGGAGAGAAAAGTGCCACATACATAGGAAAATTATGTTTAGCGGTTTTCCATGTGGGGAAAGAGTGTGTCTGGACTGACATTGCAGTGGAGCATTCAGGACAGAAGAAATGTTCACAGGGTGTGGAGTGGTCAGCGGCCAGAACCAGTACCTTACCAGAGCCGCTGTCAGGCCCCACCCAGGACTAGAGGTGAACAGACCGATACAAATGGAGAATGGGGTAACCCCAGGGACCTGCTCTGTCTACCAAGATCAAACTTACAGCAATGTTGGCCAGCCAGTAGTGGTGAACAATGTTTCCAGCCCACTGAAGCCAACGCCGCTACCAGTCCCTCCCCCTGCACTCAAACTAGGGCAGGAAGGGTTCAAGAAAGTCTGCCGAACTGAGGAGGACAGCCCCTGTCCCTTTCCAGGACTGGCCTCTGGAGTGCTGGAGATGCGCGTGAAGGAGGGAAGTAAGATCCGCAACTTAATGGGATTTGCCATGGCACGGATGCAGGGAGAGAAGGGTGTAAGTGGGGGAGGTGTGAGTGGTGGGCTCAGGCAGGTGGTCTTCACCGGGTCAGGCCGTGCGGTCACAAAGACCATCACCTGTGCTGAAATCATGAAACGAAAAGTGGGCTCTCTGCACCAGCTGACCAAACTGCGCTACAAGGTGGTGAAAGAGGTGTGGGAGAATACTGAAGGGGGGACATCTGAGATGACGGTGCACAGGACTGTGCCCTCCATCAGCATCCTTCTTTCCAAAGACCCACTAGATCCCCAGGAACCAGGCTATCAGCCTCCAGAGATTCTCAGTGCATTGTGGGAGGAGAGAGAGGGTCTTGAATCTTCCTCGCAGACAGCATGCAAGAGACCTCTTGGACCTTTGCCATACAGCAGTTTCCCTCACTGTAAGAGAGTGTGTTTGGGAGAGGGAGTCTCAGTCCACCCTCCTCACTGACTGGCTGAACCGGTGTCGAACAGTGGAGAGGATTGAATCAGAGGAGTTCATTTGGCGCTGCCCTCCACTCAAGCACAATGCTGAGACAATCAGAACATTCACTCAGACAGAACAGTGCTTTCTCAGAAGAACTGAGTACCAATTCCAGCCTCCAGAGGTCAGTTTGACTGGGACCTAAAAGCTTGCCTCTGTACATACAGCATTTAAGGGATGTGTTTCTCGGCACGTCCAACATGCTCTCTCACATCCACAAAACTGTGACGGTGTGTGCTGCCGTGTTATAAAATCTTTACCAGATTCACATGCCATTTCACACTGAGAGAGAAAAAGCCATGAAGAGCACAGGTTCCAGATTCCTGCTTGCAGTAAACTAGCTACAGCCTGTGGGCAAAATCATTTATTAGCATCATGTTACAATCATCTCTATTCCTCCATGTTCTGAAGTGTAGCCTTTAATAATACACAACGTAAGAACAAAAAATAAAAACAGCTTAAAGCCATTGATGGTATGACAAATGCAAAACATACCAATTTTATTTGTCTGATTATTAACTCTCATGAAAACAAAATTAAATAAATTGTTTTTTTTCCCCAATGGAATTTTTGTTCTGTATTTCATCTTTCTTACTCATACACCATTGAATTTGCAAAGCTCTGATTGAACAGAAAATCACAGTGTGCTGATCTTTTGATAAGAATAACTGCAGTGAAATTTGTCTGCAGAAAAAGCTGATTTAATGACAAAGCTGTTGATAAGGCACAGCTCCTAAACCAACCCAGCCTGACAGATATGCCTAGGGCAGAAATACAGGCACAGATTATCATTAAGATAACAACATAACATCACATAACACAGTGGAGAAAAGGATTAAAACTAGGCTTGACAGAGCTTCACACTACACTGTTCCTGCAAAATATGAAACCAAAGAAACATGCTATACTCCTTCCCTTTCAGCCAATAAGCCTACCCAACAACCATAGCTATTGTATGGCACCTCTTTTACTTTATTCTACCATTTCTCAACCAAAATAATACACTGAACAATGTGATCTAATAAGAGACAAGTTTTCAGAGTAACACTGAGCACTTCTTGTTGACTGATATAATAAATGAAATGGCTGCCGACTTTCTGCAGTTGACATTTTTTGTGCATTGCCTCTCTGCATTTTTATACCATTTAGATAACATTTTAGTTGTAAAAAAATAAAATAAAAAAGGTACCTCTGAATAATTGCTAAGTCTTAACTGGATGCTGCAGACATCTATGGCAATTGGATCAAAATTCAACTCCATGCAGAATGCACAGTGGAAGAAAAAAAAACAGCTGGGAGCGTATGCATAGAATTTCATGGATTAAAGATTTCTACATATATTGTACATTGTCCTAAACAAGACAAACAAAATAAACCTTCCTGAGAATTATTTTATCCAAATACTTCAGAAAAAAGAGAAGAAACTTTTTGCGCTTAATCAACCATGTCTTCTGGGGATAATAACTTAGACAAGTGGAACATTGTCTAAAGCTTTTACTGTTGATCTTAATGAAAATCTGCAAACGCAGATGTCGGCATCTTAAACTAAATTAATCAAAGTGACTCCTAACTGGGGAGACCATTCTGTTGCAGCTTAAAATGGAGAAAAAGGAAGAGTTCACACTTATGGCATTAGCGTTCAAATTCGCCTTTCAATGAATACAAATCAGTTTACATATAGTGGTCAGCCAGAACTTTAACTGTCTATGGTGGACATAGTGATTAACCTCCCTCTCGATCCCATTAAATGAATCAGAGCACAGCAAAGCACCCAAGGTTGAATAAGAAATGCTGCGACAGCAATATAGCACATATGTAGCAAACTGTGTGTCCTCAAGACTGTTGGAAGGTTATCACTTCATGGCGTTATCACAGAGTTAACAGCTTTCACCCAAGAGCCTATGGGACAGTCGGTCTGCAATGCAGGTCAAAAAGATAATGCCGCTATAAGTAAATTTCAAATCGACCTGCATCTGTTATCAAGCATTAAGAATTCTGGGCCAAGTGTAAAATGCAGTGGGGGTAATTAGGGATAACAGCGTAGCGTACCTGAGTGAGAGAACAGATAAAACATACTGACAAAAGCATTATCCCAAAGCTAAATCCAATGTGGCTGGCACAAAACAGCATGGTGGAGGAGTCAACAAAGTGCATTATAAGAATGTGGACAAGGTTATTCACAAGCTGAGAGTCCATTTTGCCAATTTTTTTTTTTTTCTTTTTTTTTTTAAATGTAGTCGAGGTGGATTTGGAGGCGATACAGGCCTAGGCCTAAAATGCCCCATTTGTGTTGGGTTTACCTTGCCCCATATTATATATATATATACACATTACAAATGACAAACAGTTATTAGTTAAAAGAAAAAAAGCTAAAATCTTGACCATCTTTTCCCCTGCTTAGACAATTTCAGTGGTAACTGTTAATGCAGCAGGTTTAAAGATATGTCTTTATATGTGGGTGTGTGTGTGTGCGTGTAATAATTAAGTTATTTAATCATTAATAAAGAACAACATTAGGTTAAGACTGTCCAATTATAGTAATCTTTTACGGCAGACAGAACAGTAACCTTCTGTTTACCGAAGCCAATAACTACATGCACTGAATGTGAATAAATTCATTTTGAAGTTAACATAATGAAAGTGTTGGCACTCCATTTCCCTGCCTCTGCCGCTGCAGCAGATGAGAGTGAGGTCTCTGGGATGGTGTGGGAGTTCGCTATCTCCCAGCCTCCAGATGGCTCCGTCTTCTCTTATCTAGAAGAATGGGTGCTGCCTCAATTTTTCAACTCGCCTTATCTTGGAATCCTTTAAATTGAATATTTACTGGGCCTATGTTTTCTGCCTGTGTTAGCCCTCTGAAGTCGACATTCCTCCTGCTTGTCGAGACAGGCCAAAGGTTTTTCTCACTCATACACTCTCTTTGTCTGCCTTGTCAAGTAATGGGACAGTGATTGATTATGTGATTGTCAGGAGAGAATGGAGGTTAAGCAGTTAAGCAGAGAGCAGTGGAGAAATATATAACAAATGGTCATAGAGGGAATGTGTTCAACAATACAAAAACGTACATTACCCAAACATGATATCAGACAGACCTCCATTTTATGTCAGGAGTAAAAATGATTAAATTAATCACTTTCTGAGCAGTCTATTGTTTCCTACACAGTGTACACTAGAGGTTAAGAGAACACTTAAGCAGCCATTGAAAACATCTTATTGCAATATGACTGGCTGTGGTCTATCTGCATAAACAAGCCGTGCCACAGCTACTCCCTGGTAAGTGTCTGGAAACGTCTTTTCAAAACCATTTTGTGAAATGCCTCCATGTTGGATTAATCAGTGCAGCTGAGGATGTAATTGCTGTGCTGAAGTCAAAGCTGTAAGAGCAGATAATGAACACTGACTACAGGGCTGCCAGAATCCAGGGCAAAAGAAATGAGAAGTTCAGGGACCAAAATGTCTTCACCAGTCTTTCAAAATGCCATCACAGAAAATGAAGGCACGCTGTATTTACACTAAATAAAAGACTGAAAAACATCACCTATGACTTAGTAGTCACTAACATGAAGAGCTGCATTGTGCTGTTAGAATTTCAAAGCAAATTGAGGCAAACTTACATTAACTTTAAGGACTTTCTCAAGCACTTTAGATATTATTTATGCATGTTTTTATGGATTCAGTAATATTCATGCATCTGTAAATTATGCGTATGATATTAGATATTTGACTAATTGTCTTTCAGGAGGGATGGGAAAACCAACAGGAGTTTGTTCTGACTGTTGCTGCCCTCTGGTGGAGAAATAAGTTCAAAGTGAAATGCATAAAAAGACATCTCTTTGCTCACGGGCACTATTATTGGTATATCTGACAGACATCTCTGGTCCTGTGCAGTACAAGTTTTGCACAACAAAGCTAAATGGTCACTGAACAGATTATGATCTGGTAGCAGGTTTAATCATTTTACTTCGCATTTACAACAAGCAAATGGGAGCTATGGGCAATGGTATTTTTTTAATTGTTCAATGCTATAACAATTTAATTGTTGGTTTTTCTCCTTTTATAATTTCAACAAGTATAAAGACTACTTTTTACCACTGTATATTAATTCCCTCCCCCTCACAATAACGAGAGGACTTCAGACTCAATTAGATTTAAGAATTTGCAGTATCAAAGAGGTCGGCTATATTATGAAAATGACTCATAATACTGCATCGTCTCTTCTAAAAGGTGTGAGAAACAGGAGAGGCTTACGGACTGATATTTGTGAAATAAATAAAGAACGGAAAAGTACCCACGGCGCACACACACACACACACACAGAGCTAAAGCTTATGTCTGCACCAGCAAAGATTAGCTTTGTTCTGTTTCAGTAATGCCTACTAAAAGGTGGAGGCGGGACACTTCAGACTTGAGGGAAAAGCCAGATAAATAATGGTGAGCTGGAAATGAGGAGCCCCTCCGTTTTGTCCAGCCTTTACCCTCTGACCCTCAGGTAAAAATGTGCACTGTACAGTATGGGGGAAATGTAATTCTACTGTGATTAATATGGGGACCGCACTGCTTCAAAATACTGGCTGCGTTCAGATGTAAAAATCGAATAAAAAAAACAAAAAAAAATAGTATAATGTATAAGTATAATGTTCAGTGCTCTTGGGTTGCATATTAACATTCTCCCACCCAGTACTGATGAACAGAGGGATGAACAGCTGCTGCCTCGCGGTGTTATCGGTGTAATTGGATGCCCCATTCCAGTGTGATCAATATAACCATTAAAAAGAAGGCATCATGGTTTTCTTTAGCGTCTTACCCTTGGAACAGCAAGGGACTCAACATATTACTACAGACAGTCATGCAACTTTGAAGAATGCACTGTAAAACTGCAGGTATAATAGTTTTGTTTTTTACAGTTATTAAAAGTGCACTTTTTTAACAGAGAGTATTCATAACTACAAATACAAGTTCACCGTGAAACCTTGTGTAGCAACCAAGCTGAGATTTCTTCGACAACTGTTTAACTTGCACTAGCTTTGCTTAGCTAGAATATATTATTATCACTGTACATAATACACATATTAGAGTTAATGTTATAGTCCTATCTTAAGTGTCTTCAATGTTTTATTGTATCATATTGAATTTTCTAAAATACCATTTAATCTATTTTAGTTCTAATAACTTTTAGTTAGTATACAATAGCTATTATTATAGCTATTGTATAACTAAAAAATAGAATAATATATTGCTGTAATACAGTCTATCCTAGGGGTTCACAAATCACAAATATACCTAACTACATGTGAAGTGGAGTATTTTATAGAGACTGTAAAATCATAGATGCTGCAATTATAAATTCACAATTAAGCACCTAACCCTTCACAATTACAATGTTCAATACAATGCTGTATACATACTGAACATGGTAGCATTAAATTAATGCTTCTCACATAACTTTCTGAATTTGATTTTAAGGCAGTTTGTTGACATGGAATTCTGCAGTCATCCACCTTTTAGAAACTATTATTCAAAGTAGCACACTTAAAGTTTCTATATTTATATCACTGGAATTCATGGTTAAAAAAACACCTGGGGCAAGTGGCATTTCCTACTTGAGCAGTCCTTTTGTCCTCGTGGTCATTCAAAGCGCTTATCTGTGAAGCTATCTCCATTTCATTAAGAGTTTAAAGAAAAACACCATTATTTAGAAAATCTATTTTCTCAAGTGATTCACCTGATAGTGAACTAACCCCTGCACACCTTTCCACCTCATTATTTTAAACAAAAACAGCAGCCAGCTGCACTAATGACAAGAATCTGGTTCCAGTTCCCCCGTCCAACTATTAAAACTCTGTTTAACGTGAGGGATTTTTATCTCTTGTATTGCCAGTCACATTGCACACCAAGGTCGACAATATGACTAAATGATTTGGTTAATTTGAATTCAAACAGTGTCAGCTGGGGGTCCACTCCGCGCAGTGGGAGGATTGGTAGAGTAATATCAACACAGTTGTGATTACTCCATTGAAGCAGTAGGGTGCTCCAATCAGTGCTGAATCACTCTCCTCATTACAGACTACAAGGCCAAATCTCAGTGGGTGGACCACAGAATCAGGCTTTGTATCTTCCCACTGAAATTAATTGAAATTCATTTGTGGCACCCCGATGCTCCCCATCAACACCGGACTCATTCACATCTGTGCAATCCACCCCGGATCCATTAAGCACAAGCACATTTCAAGTTTTAAAACACGTGAAAGCACAGGTATGTTCTGTGGTGTGGACCTCGGCTTTCAGGCCAGATTTTAAACTGCAGATGCATCATGCCGGGAAGGATTCTTGTTCAGGGAAAGCAAAGTAATCTGACCAGGTATTGCTCCAGTGGAGTGCTGTATTATTTATTTATTTACTCTTGCACGAACATCGGGGGGACTAGGGTCTCGGGCAGCAATTAGTGCATGCTACAAAAACCACAACAGATGTGATGACTAGCACACCTTTCTGATGAGAACTGATATACCACATGGTTGCCGCCCTTGTTTTCCATCAGATGCAGTCCTTAAACTCTGCATAAACGGTTTTCATAATTCATAGAACACAGACTATTTACACATCACATGCAAAAGCTTTCCTCTCTCCAAAGCAAACCAAAGTACTCAAGCAAAAAAAAAAAAAACAATTATCACAAACACATTAACAGCTAATGCATTCACCATTCTCATCACTACTCTGTGCCGCTGAACGCTAGAGGATCAAACTCAAGCAAATACTGATATATCTGTAGCTGTTTATCCCAGTCTAAATGGGCCATTTTATGAACAACATTCCAGGAATTTCAAAATAACCTTTTTTGGGTGGGCCTTTATTGCCTTCAATTGATAGTGACAGCTGCAGGGGGACAGGGAAGGAGGGAACACAAATGGGGATGACACACAGCAAAGTGCCATAGGTTGAAGTCAACAAGGTGAGCTACCAGGACGCCCCAAACTAGTGAATATTTGATAACAAATCCACTTCTACCGTGAGATCCTGTTCTACAAACCTTAAAAAAAGGCTCGAAATCCTTTTCACCGCTAATAGCAAAGACTGGAACCAACTTGAATGTCCTTTCAAAATCTTGAATGCATGTTAGTAAGCACCTATCTGTGTTCAACCGCCTTGCAGAACATACTGGCTGAGGGGCTTTACACCCCTCAGCCAGTATGTTAGGAAAGATGTCCCTACCAGGTCTTCCTGCTGTTGACTTGCCAAAGCGGCCATGGAAAAATCAAGCAGCATGTGGAAGCGTGCTGGGGGCTAGCACTGGTCCCCTGACATTATATCATTCGGTGTGGCTTCCATATAACCTGGGCACGTCCTCAATGGTTTGCGCCACAATCATATCCTACAACACAATCCGCTCCCAGGCCTATACACAATATTTAGGGTTTATATAACAGTTCTAGCAATTCATATAGAAAATAATAAAATTCAACAATCTAATTAAATAAGTGTTACTGACCTGCAAGGCTGCAAGCTAGGCGGCAAGCTGCTTGAGGCATCTGAGGCAATCTGAAAATAGAAAAGTCAAAGTTTTACTATAAAGTAGGAATGTAACAACACACTCAACTCACAATTCGATACGATTGGGACGAGATTGCAGACAAATTATGAAGATTCCTTAACTTCTCAGACAAAAATCTACAACCTCTGCTGTTTAAAAAGTGGCTTAACAGCGATATAGCAATACAGTACATCCTACAGCATACTCACATGGGTTTACAGAAAATACATGCAGCATCAATTTGACCTAATCCGTATAGACGTGGTATCATTACTGTATTTCTTCTAACTTATTCGCTGGTATAAACCCTAAAGAACAAGATCCATATACTGTAATAGGTTTGCCAATGAATGCCTGTCTTTACACTCTCTTTTTGTTTCCACTCTCAAGTGTGCACAACTAAAAGACATCATTAACGACAACAAATTTATTTATTTAATTTCCTCAGTAATTTCCAAGACAGCCACCACATTATCACAAGCAAGATACCTTACTGCTAAAATCAGGTTTCTCTCATTACTGGCATGTTCAACACAATATACACTGCCTGTCCCCAACCTGGCTACATACTGATGATATGTTCCAGTTACTAAGCTAAGCATCGAAATTTTAAGCCAAACTTTAACATGACCTGTCCCTGTTTGGGGAACTTTCAGACTCTTCAAACTGTCTTCAATTCAGCTGTAATGAAAACATTCAGCTTAAACATGGCAGCCAGTTAGCTAGCTTGTGGGAGGCAGCAAAACTTATTTGTATTAGGTTTATTTACCTGTATCAGGCTTATTTACCTGGTTTATTTACCTGTATCAGGTTTGTTTTACCTGCTTTATTTGCCTGTTCCATTATAAATTTTCATATTTGCGTGTTTATCATTTTCTTTCGACTTACTTTTGTCACTGTCCATTGCTTCCATTAGTGGTCTGCCATGTTTGTGAAGTAACGTTAGTTTAATAGAACATTAGCGGAAGCTGGTTGTCTAGACTCTGTATTTCTGGAGTGTTTTTTTTTTCTTAACTTACGTTTTTTTTGTTTTTGTTTTTTTTAACGAATAATTAATCTTACAAAATACAAACATGGCCGCTCTGTTACCTAAATGCTATCATCAGTATAAACGTGTCAAATGTAAAAACGCATGAGAGACAAGCGTGGTCTGGACCATCGGCCATTTATAGTAGCCATTACACTATTTGGCCAACAGGTGGCTCAATTCCTAATCCAAGGGTCTCAACGGTGCTTTAAAATGCTCCTCGTAAGTCCTGCCACCGTGAGAGACAGTGTGGTTAAATAATAGTAAGTAAGACATAACTTAAGGTTTTAAAGTGAAGAAGAGAAGCATTGCATTAAGTCCAAGTAGAGTTGAACAGTGAAACAAAATTGCTGCTGCCATTAAAGCATCAAGTCATCTCTGTTGACTAAACACGGCGGAATTAATTCTATTCTATATGTTTAGGTAATCTTTTCCAACAGGACCTGAATGCAGCACCCAGCCCGTGGTAGTTCTACATGGTCGTTTGCTTCACATTTGTTTGGGGCGGAGAGCTGGAGAGTTCCTATTGTTTGTGTGCAGTTGTTCAACTAGGTGGTCGACAAGTAACTTTTTATCGACCTGGCAGGTAAGCCTATTATTGCCTAAATATGTTTTTTTCCCACAATTTCCACAGGGGGGGCATTTTCATCATTTATCAGAATTCCTAGTCTTTCTGTGTGGACTTCCTGTGCTTCTGTACTTAATGAATTGTGAGAATCATCATACCTTTGGGCATTTTAATGTCATCAGAGTTAAGTGTAATGTATTCCAAGTACTTTCAAATATATGTATGAGATTAGCAGCAAGTTTATAATGATGCTGTCATTGCTGTCAATGCTGACAGTTATTTCCTGTTGTCACTGTAATATTTCTTTGATGTTTCTGTAATAGTAGAAAAGAGACCTATCTGTGCTGTGATATTTGTTTTCCTTCCAAAAGTAATTATAAATCCAAAATAGTGAATGTGGCTTATGCAGAGCTGGTCCTGACCTCCCTGGGGCCCTAAGCAAAATCCTGTTAGGGGGCCCTCCTACCTGACCCTGTAAACCATGGAAACCATTTGCCATTGCCACACAGTCACACCAGACATCCCAGTGCTCCCACTACATTACTTCTTCCTTTAAATCTGTTGGTCTTAGAATTAGATCTATACTTTATTGTGTATAAACAAATTATATTCATCCAATAGAATATTTTATTAAGAGAATATTAACATTGTAGAAAATATAAATGTAGAAAATAATGGCTGCAGTTTTAAGTCTCAAAATATCTGCATCACCTATTCAGAGTGGCTCCCCCAGATTTCCTCTTTATACATTTTCAAATATAAAATACTATTTATACTGAGGCTTTACTGCATACCTGATGGTTAATATTTACTGAGAGATTTTTTTGCCCAGTATGGCAATCTAATCCATATTTTAAATTCAGTATGTATTCAGTAGTCAATGTCAATGCATTGCTTTCTACCTTGTTACAGAGTTGTAATAGTGTGCCTATAAGGCTGACCAGCTCTGGGCTTATGTTATGTAGGTGTGTGTGTGTGTGTGTGTGTGTGTGTGTCTTAGCAATGCAGCTGTGATTATTTTGTTATCAGATAATTGCTACTGTTGTGTGTTCTCTCTTCAGAATGCCTTCTAGGAAACCTGTAACAAGTGCTTCAAGCTGCTTCTGGATGTCCCTAAAACACCTAGTGGTACTCTCCTCTCTGTGTAGTCTTATATCTGGATACTCTGAGAGTGATAGAGTGCGTGACTTGATGACCAGATATCCTCTAATTGATGGGTAAAGGATGTTTATTGTCTTGCCTACACAGGGGTTAGATTTATGGAAACAAGTGAATGGAATCAAATTAGGATACCTCTTCATCTTTTCTTTTTTTTCCTTACACCCTCTCCCTCCATCTGTCAGTCATAATGACCTAGCTCTCCAGCTGAGGATATTACACAACAATCAGCTGAGCCAAATTGACCTTCATAATGTTAGCAAAGTGGCCACCGACATCACCCGTCTCCATGCAGGCCATGTGCAGGCACAGGTATTGTAATTTAATCAAACTTTCATTGCTGTAGCAAAATGAACGCACACATTGACTTTATTTCAACTGTCGAACTTTGATATTTTGGACCTGAAAGGACCGTGTTGTGGAAAGATCAGACCTATAATGACAGTCAACTCAGTAACATAATGTCTCTGCTGTTCTCTTGTGTCACATCCCCGTCCCTTTGTCAGATGTTTGCAGTCTATGTGATGTGTGGGGCCCAGGAGAAGGATGCTGTGAGGCTGACTCTGGAACAAATAGATGTAGTCAGACGCATGTGCACTGAGTACCAGGACTTTGAGCTGGTCACATCTGTCCAGGGTATAGTACCCCTCGTAATGGGAAAAAAACAAATGAAACAGATGATTGATTTTTATTTATTTTTTAGATCTATTTGGTTATCTACAATTATGATTCAGTGCATTTTTTGCTTATAGTATGAATGTAAGTAAAACACATCCAGAATCCTCTTATTTATGAATCCATCCTCTTAAGTATGTATTATTTACAGTCAAATTTAATGTATAATGATCATCACGAGAAGTTTAGTACTTTATGTGAAGAACACATTCGCTAACATGTAAGTATAAGTTGTTGTGATTTGATGTATATTTTCTATGTATGTTTCCCAGGACATTTTGTATTTATTTTTTTTACACGTTTTTTTTTGAATGATTATACAACCTTGAAGCAGGTAGCAGCTATTGGCTTGGCAGGATGCATTCATTTTGGATAATGTGTGTACTGTGTGTGTCATACATGTATGTCGATCAATGCAGAACTAACGAATACTGAGATGAGGCATAAGATAGGCTGCCTAATAAGTATTGAGGGGGGCCACTCTATTGACAGCAGCCTGCCAGCCCTGCGGATGTTTTACCAGCTTGGGGTCCGCTCCATGGCCCTCACACATAACTGCAACACACCCTGGTAATGAGGAGATTTGTTCTGAATGCATTATATTACTTAAAATATTATAGATGATTCCTATATTGCAAATATTCTTTTTTACTTTATTGCTGTTAAAATATATCTACACACACACCTTGCACACACAAGGGAGGTAGGTGGGCATCAATGACAGCCACATAACCCAACAGAGTATCAGTTTTAGAGTACTAGTGATCTAATAAAAAAGCATCTCTAGGTCCGATACAGATATTTGGAATTTAAACTTCCTATAAAGCCAAGGCTGCTGTATTTCATATTACTGTGTAAAATATAATGTTTTTTTAATAATTTTGTATTGATTTTCTCTTACACTGTTCATTGGCTCAGACCTGCGTAGAACTTAGCCTTTACCGTAAGCTTTTGTTGCTATTTTTAAAGATAATAGAATTCTGGATTAAGGATTTGTTTACAGGGTTGACTGAGGGGAAATGTCAAATGTGTTTTTTTTCCTTCTATGCAAACAAGCCTGTATTTGTTCTCTCTTTAAACATCCATTTCAAAGCCCATAAATGAAGCACTATTGGGATATATTTTACATTTTCTGGTAGTGAGGGACACGATGCATGATTGGTGGTTTTGACAGTATCCCTTTTCAATACAGGGCTGAATCATCCTCAAAACTTTATAATTTCTATCAAAGACAGAACAACAGCCTCACACACTTTGGGAAGGTAAGCTTTTATTAGCATTTATTGCATTCCACAAGGCAACATGTCAGCACGTTTGCAGATTTTGGCTATCCCTTATTTGAGAAGGTATTAGAACATAACCCTTGCCATTTGATTATTACAGCAACAACTTTTATTAAAACAATTGTAATGCTTTTCCTATTCAGTTGGCCCTCTCAATTGCCATCTGCATGAGTGTGTTATTTGCACGTACATGTAACCATCCCCTGCTGAATTGTCTTCCTTCCAAGGACACTGTAAATGGCCACTTAAAGGGTTTTTTAATGTGTTTTCTAGGCCGTGGTGGAGGAAATGAACAGACTGGGAATGATAGTGGACCTTTCCCACACTTCTTGGGACACGGCCTCGGCAGTGCTGAAGCATTCTAAGGCTCCTGTAATTTTTAGCCATTCATCTTCCTACTCCATCTGTAACCACCACCGCAATGTACCTGACTGGATGCTGCACCAGCTGGTGAGAGAACCAATTCACTGAGTGATTAATTACTTGCTTAGTTGTTTGACTAAATGACTATCTTATTAATCAAGTCACTGAATAATTTTAATTATAAGTTTTATATATACCTCTGACAAAGAACATGTAATATGCTTTTATTTTTAACTTTTTTGTGTATCGACAGGATAAAAAATGTATGAGCTGATTTTCACCATTAACGATTATTCTATTTCAGTCCATTAACGGTCATTATAATTGACTCTAAATCCTAAGGGTATAGTTGTAGCATATGATCTAATGTATAACTTTTATTATTCACACTAATCTTCTATATCATCTACTGCACTTTATGTTGTACTTGGCAGTCAGCTGACTGTGTGGCACGGGGTTTCCAACATAAAATGATGATTCACAGTCTAGCCGAAGCTCCAAAGTGTACATCCCATTATTCTTTAGTCGAATTTTATTGTACTTTAATCGTGGTGCTGTGGGTGTGGTTAATTATCAGTTAACTCCTTACAGTATCAATATCACATTTGTATTCTCTACTTGTGTAGTCTCCCCCTGTCTTACCCCAAACAACAACCCCAGACTCTTTTCTCTCAGTATCTCATATACAGTGTTGGGCATCTTACTTTAAAAAAGTAATTAGTTATAGTTACAAATTACTTCTCCCAAAAAGTAATTGAGTTAGTAAC